TTTGTCGAGTCAAAACAATCATCTCCGTTTTCTGTTTGGCGAGTTTTAGGTGGTGTTTCTCTAGCCAGGTCTCTATGGTATCGACGGTCTCTCGAACGAGTAGTTCAGCCTCCTCAGTGCTGTCCACTACGATTGTAGCTGCGACGTCGTCCGCAAAGCCCGTGAGTTCCACCTGCTTCGGCAAGGAGATCTCCTGGAGCTCGTCGTAGACAGCGTTCCACAAATCGGCTCCTAAGATTGAGCCTTGAGGTACACCAGCTGTAACCGCGTGTTCTTGATGACCTTCCGTCATTTTCACTATCAGCTTTCTCTCATCGAGGTAGTCGTCTATTAGTCCTAGATTCTCTGGCTTGTCGTCAAAATTATGCTCTAGGGCATTTAAAATATTCTTCAAATTCGCACTGTTAAAGGCCTTTCTAAAGTAGAATGTAAGGAGGAGGACTTTACGAGCTTTAAGGCTACCACGCCATGCTTCTCTTGCTGTTTCCGTTACCTTCCGAATCGCGCCGATCGTCGATCGTCCTTTTTGAAATCCATGTTGGTTGTTGGAAAAACCTCCGGCGCATTCAATGTCGTTTTGCAATCTGCATTGAATGAGTTTCTCAAGCAGTTTTCCGTCAATGTCTAACATGCAGAGTGGTCCAAAAGACGATGGTGTTACAGGGGTTCCCTAACCTTTGTCTATTAGGATCAATCTTTGCCGCTTCCAGACAGTAGGAAAGGTGCCGGTTGCCAGACAGGCATTGTAGGCGTTCAGAAGAATCTCTGGAAATTCTAGGGCTACAGTCTTGATCACTGAGGCTGGGATGCCACCAGGGCCTGGTGCTTTTTCTGTCTTTATGGTTTTCACCGCATCTTGTACTTCCTTGATGGTGAAGGGTGTAGTTTCGCTGTTTTTCACGTATTGTCTTCTTTTCCGTGGTGGGTGTTTAGGGAATAATTCCGCTACGACGCAATTCATCAGAGCAGGAGATTTCGGTGCTTCTGGTAAATCTCTACCAAGTCGTTTTGTAACAATTTGGTAGGCTTTGCCCTAGAGATCTTTGTCAAGATCATTGCAAATTTCCTTCTACAATCCGGCTTTAGCGGATTTTATGGCTTTATTAAGGGTCTTTTTTGCCTGTTTGTACTCACTTGTAAACATATCTTGGTCGGGGAAACGTTTTGCAGCTCTTGTGGCGCGGCGACGTAATGCGTGGCATCTTTTCCGTAGTTCTGCTATTTCTGATGACCACCAATATGCTGGACTGTGTACACCCTGATTTTTTTTTGGACGTGGAATAGAGGCGTTACATGAGGTGACAATGGCGTTCATAGTTTTGAGAACCGTTTCTTCCGTCTTTCTCCGGGTACTTAGTTTTGGATCAGCTTGAAGAGTAGATGCGTTTTGCTCGAGGGCTGCTCGCAACGCTTCATGGTTAAGCTTCTTGGCATTTCACCTTCGTTTGCCGGACCGGATCCAATACTGAATGTCATATGTTGATGATCACTGCCACTATGCTCTTCAGATACAGTCCAGTCTTCAATCATGTTCGGTGTCCTTGGAGTGGCAAACGTAATGTCGAGAATAGATTCCTGATATCCTGGTCTTCTAAAAGTTGTAATACTCCCAGTATTTAACACAGTAAGGTTTAATCTTGCAGCAAAGTCTGCCACGTCATTTCCTCTAGTGTCCGAGTATTCGGCGCCCCATTCAGCCGATTTCGCGTTGAAATCACCAGCTATAATGACTTCTCCGTCAAATTTGCCGAGAGTATCTTCTATGCTTGCCATTTTCTGGCGAAATACGCTAATCCCTTCATTTGGTGAAAGGTAGACGCTCACACAGTAGGTCGTGGGAGTCTTGATCCAGACAAAACCCTCTCCGCTTCCGTTGTCGTTGACGGTGATCTTCGAGTTTGTGATCCATATTGCTGCCGTGCCAGTTTTATCTGCGGACCATGGTTTATCCTGAATATTCATATATTGCTCGCAGATAAGGCAGATATCGATATTATCTTCAAAGATACGTTGGCGCAGTAGATCCTGTGCCAAGGCACATCTATTCAGATTACCATGTAGAAATCGCGTCATTTCTGTTCTCTCGTGGGTTCGGCAAGTGCTACACGGAATGCTTTACAGGTACCGGATCCGGTGACATGGCTCCCGCTGTTCCGGTCTTCTTTGTCTACTGTACATAGAAAGCATTTTCGCTTTTCCGTGCAGTCTACAGGCTTGTGATTTTCTCCGCCGCATTTGTAGCAACACTTGCTTCTGTCTGGTCCCCCGCATTTATGCGTTTGGTGTCCGAAACCGAGGCATCTAAAGCAGCGGGCCACTTTAACAACTGGGCGAATGCGACAGTTAACCCACCCAATTCTTATACGGGCCCTATTTAGGGCTTTGATTGCATTAGCCTCATCTATCTCACAAAAGGCCGCTCGTTGTCCTCTTGATGTGACTTTGGTCAAGTTCACTCGTCGTATTTCCAGTTTTGTCGTAAAGTCCCGAAGGAGTGCTTTGCGAACGTCGTTTTCGGTAGAGACACCATCAAGGTCAAGAATCTCTATCGTCGTCAGCGGCGTCAGTGATTTCACTGTTCCTATGTTTTCAGTTGCTGCCCTTATCGCAGCTGCAAAGGCTGCACTATCTTCGGACTTGGGGCTCATTTCCAGTAATATACCTCCATTTATTGTCTTTTTGATAGACTTTATGTCCACGCCAGTTTCTGTCAGATTTACTTTTTCCTTGATCTAATTAAGGATGTCAGCGTACGTTCGTCCTTCAGCTGGTTGAACCAGAACAGCCTTGGTTCTATGTTTCCTCCGAGTTGTCCTATGATGGTTATTTCTTTGCTTAGCACTATCATTTGTTTCGATTTTTCGGTTTCCGGTTTCTCGGTTTCCTCCAAGGTTACTTTCGGATCCCGCGCTCCTTTCTTCTTTGAACCTCGTCGAGCCACTTTCGTCCAGTTATTTTCTACAGCCGATTTTTTAGGCGGATGTGTTTCCGCGTCAGAGGTGGGGCTAAGTAAAGATAGCAACCTTTTGTTTGTGTTTTGCTCTTGGGTCTTAGAGGTTGGCGTCTGAGTTACAACCCGGTTCAATAGTTTTCTCGGGAGAGGTCTGTGTAGTTTGCACTGTCATTACGACAGCTTTGGGGGTTGCCGTATATTCTTTCAATGCCAGGCTATATGCTGTATCAATCGACCTAATTAGCTCCTTTATTCTGCTGTGAACATTGTTCCTATCACATACCCTTTTCTGGGTTTCTGGGTTTTCATAATTATCCATGTGTTTAAATAATTCTCCAGAACAAGAGGTTGTCTCCGAACGCGGTGCCTTGGGAAGTGGAGGGGTGATTACCCTTACAGCTATCTCCATTGCTGTAGAGCTGTGACCATTGGAGAGGGAAAAAAAACATCCGCTCCGGCCGTGCACCTTCTTCCTTCATTGG